AAAAAGAAAGAAAGAAAGAGAGAGAAAGACGGAAAGAAAGAAAGAGAGAAAGAAAAAGACTGAAAGAAAGAATAAGAGAAAAAGAAAGAAAGAAAGAGAGAGAAAGACGGAAAGAAAGAAAGAGAGAAAGAAAGAAAAAGAAAGGGAGAAAGAAAAAGACAGACAGAAAGAAAGAAACAGAAAAAGAAAGAAAGAAAAAGAAAACCCACACACACACACACATATACACACACAAAAAAACATAAGGCTGTTAAATTACAGTTTATCACTATGAGAATATGGTTTGGAGATAATTCATGTCATAAGTGTTGACAACATTTTTCCCGATGTACTTTCATGTACTATAAAATTTTATGATCATTAGGTTATTTGTATTGTTTGTATTCTATACTGTAATTATTATTGAAGTTGTATAATCCTTTTAATGATGTATTGTTGCCAATGTCTGTATATAAAAAATATATACCTTTTCGTGTTAAATATTTATTGCGAAACTCCTGCCTATTCTCCAACGTTGAAGAAGATTCTCGAGAGTAACAATCAACAATATATGTGTGTACGTAAACGCTTGTGTTAACGTCAGTATTGTTACGTAAAACTGAAATTTCGCGAAAGCCTCCACACACACCTATAAATATAACCAACACTATTAAACTTAAAGTATCATTTAACTCAGTTTCAGACCTTTCCAAATTATCATACGTAACAAGTTTAAAATCTATCAAAATCCAATTTCTGAAGAAATGTAGAAGAAAAATTCAACCTCGTACACTGCAGTTACATGTTACGTCTGGGAAGCGAATGAATAGCGTGTTGTATTAGCATTTTTGTGCCTCGATTTTCGAGAAGTTTTTATTAAACACAAGCCAGCCAAAAATTGTCCTATACATTATACATTGACTTGTAACTACTTGTAAACATGCCCGTATAAGTAGATTGAACACTATGAAATGTTCTTCTAACCTACACACACAGGGGCAGGATTTTTGGTTTTTTTATCAGGTCTAAGGTACCTTTTTTTTTTTTGGTAGTTCATCGGAAAGGATAATGCAATCTCTCAACCTCTTCCTTCTTAGATAGTATCAACGTTTTATAAAAATAGTTCAACTTTCAACGCTCTATGTCATTCCTTGGTCTTGCACAAGTCAAAATGTAAAGCTTGTTGCTTTGTAAAAGAATATAATTTCGTGAAACCTTCATCGTTTCAAAGGAGATGAATTTAGAATCGATCCGTTATATCATACCTTTTAGAAATATTCGATTTTATATGTTAAAGCACATTTAGGAAATTTTAAATAAATATCAGAAGAATTTTAACTAACTTTGCAGAACAACTACTATCTTAAGTAAGTTATCAGAAGTAAAATTTAATTAACTATCAGGAGTAGTAACTAAACTATCAAAAGTAATGCTTTAATTAAGCTATAAAAAGTAATATTAATTAATTTTTAAAAGTAACATCTTGACTAACTAGAAAAATTAACATATTGATTAAACTACCAAAATTATTGACATATTGACTACACTAGCAGAAATTTCAACATTTTGACTAAACTAAAGGAAAAGCAATATTATGACTAAGTTATCAGAAGAACTAAGATACCATAAAAGCAGCATCTTGTACGCCTTAACCAAACTATTAGAAAAAGAAACACCATAATTAAACTTTCAGATGAAATAACACCTTAACTAAACTGTTAGAAAAAGTTGCTCCTTAACTAAACTATTGGAAGAGGTAACACGTTAACCATACTACTTGAAAAGAGAACATCTTAACTAAATTATCAGAAAAAGGAACACCATAACTAAACTATTAGAAAAATTAGCACTTAACTAGGCTATCCAAACGTCGAACACCTTTAATAAACTATTAGAAATAGTAACATCTTTAAGAAAGAAACTTGTTGCTAAAAATATCATCAAATGTTATTTTTGATAACTATTAGATGACTCTTGTGGTTCCCTACGACCAAATAATCGCCGAGTCAGCTCTAGTCGAAGTTTTTGGACAGGTAGGAGCCCCAAAATCGAAGTTTATTGTGGCTTTTGGCGCCTTAGCTGGACTAATCGTTAGCATGTTCGGTTCCATGTTCCCTATGCCTCGTGTTGTTTATGCTATGGCAAAGGACGGCCTGATCATCAGGTAAACATGGATTTTATCCATGCAGCTATATTTGTTTGTTTGTTTTTATAAGTAAATAACTTGTGTAATTTATGATATTCCATATTCCAGTTTCGTTGTCATTGCTTTTATAAACATTGTTAGTAGTAGTATTACTTATAAGCTCATTTTTTTTTTATGTTAGCGTCCCTTATACAATATTCATGTACTAAATTTGTTACTTCTGTTTGGATATACAGTTATGAACTCATATGTCACAAAACAAACTGTTTAAGCTGAAATTTTCTAATACCTTTTTTATAAGTGGAGTTAAATATAGTACCTGTGTTTGTGCTCTGAAAGTAACCACTTATTTTCCACATCTTAGGTCACTTTCTCAAGTGTGGCCTTACACGGGAACACCAGCTATTGCTACTTGTGTTTTTGGAGCTGCCACTGCTTTCGTGGCCATTGTTATGAGCTTGGATGTGTTGGTAGAGATGATGTCAATAGGTGAGATAAACTTAAAATTACAACAGTGTTACCAAAATCCACTTATAAGATAATAGGTAAACATGTCACTTCTTTTAATTTTTGTGTCTTTTTGTCCCTGTTCAATCTCCATGTCTTCGTCCTTCGTTTGAATATTTCTATATGTACTTCCTTACTTCCTTTGAACCACTGTATGAGTTACTTTGTCGAATGTATCCAGGTATTCTTTCAATATGTGTTTTATGCTCATTTCCCTGAGAACATTACCAAATTTTCCCTGACAAAAATTACCTTATGTCTGTGGACTTATAACGTTAGAATCCGGGTTTCTATACTTGTGGTGGTCAGAGCGCAGATAGCCCATCGTGTTGCTTTGTGCTTAATTACAAAACAAACAAACAAACAAATTGTTGCAAAGCAAAGTCGGGGAAATTAAGATATACCGCTGTGCCACTGGGGGCCTCTGCAAAAGAAATCAATCTGTATAAATACAGTCAAACACTAGATAGGCAAATTATTAATTTTGAAATGTCTAAAAGATGTGAAAACGTCGTGAATTATAAAGAGGGGAGATTATAGGTTGCTGGAAAAGTGGAAAATCGGTTATTGAAAGGTTATAATGTTTGTATAGGTGCTGCTGGACACGTGCGATTTACTGTGCATGAAACCTTTCAGGTTGACTGAATGTGTCGTCCAAGAGTGACAACAATCACTTCTTGAGACTTTTAAATATTACGAGAAACTATCTTTGCCACAAATTTGCCGTGCTTTTATTGTATCCAATGTAGCCGTGTGTGAAAGGCATCGTCTGTGAGGTCTATACAGCAAAATCCCCCACGACATAGGGTACTTTGGAAGAATTGTCCTGTACACGTCCTTAATCTACCTCAAGAATGGTCACCACCATTTTGTTTGTTATAAATCCTATTATCACTGAAATCTTCACGCTTGGTTTGCAAGTTTTGTGAATTGCTGAAACCCAATTCTCGTAGCTTCAAAGTGGTAGCTAGATTTGGATCTGTAGGTTGGCCGATGTCCTTTCATCCTTCAGCCAAACCTCTGTATATATCCTTTTCCATCTCTCTTTTTAACCTCTGTAAGGATCGTCCATCCATTTTTAAAACTCTGTTTATATCTTTCTTCTGAAACTTTGTGCATTTTAACACTTTCTGCTTACCTTTTTGTGATTTTGTCCTTCTTTAAGTTGTCTTGCCCCTTCATTCTTCTGTCCTCTCAACTCTGTTTCTTCTATTTCGTATGGGTAAAGCATGAGCCAATGGTTAGTATGCTGGATTGTGAAGCTGGGGTTCTGTGGTTCGATTCCCATTACCACCAAAAATAAATTTCGCTTCCTACTTTAGGGCATTAGATGAGTTATAAGAATGACAGTAAAATCTCACTATTCGGTCATACAAGATTTGCCGAATAATTGTTAGTGGTAAGTTGACTAGCTGCCTTCCATATAATCTATCACTTCAAAATAAGGAACGGTTAGCGCAGATAGCCCTTGTGTAGCTATGCACGAAGTCCAACAAAACAAACAACCTGTTACATATTATTTTTCTCTTTCAGTATATTTAAATGACTTTTGATTAATATATTTTCTTAAGTAAGTTAATTTTCTAAGCTTTTAGGATGATTTTTAACAATGGCGGCGCGAGAATTTGCTGCACCAAATTTTTTGGCGCCCCTAAAATTTAAAAGAGTCGGTGACCAGCCACAAACGGCGCCCCTTATGCGTGGCGCCCAGGGTGTGTGCCCCTCCTGACCCCCCCCCCCTTCGCGCCGTCACTTATTATTAAATACTTTTCTATTACTGGTTGTTATTGTATTGGCAAACCACCAATGATAATTATAAGACTTGTCATATTATTTCTATTCACCAGGTACCCTAATGGCTTACACCTTGGTATCGACTTGTGTTCTGATCCTGCGGTACCAACCTCACAACACCACTCTGGTGGAACTTCTTCCTGAGTCCATCAGGTCAGCGTGCCCCACCCCCTGTAAAGAGATAGCAACGCCCATTGTTGACTTAAGAACAATGATTCATTCGAAGCGAAGTAATCGAACGAATTCTTCCGACAGTGAAGACTCCCAAATAGACAAGACCCAAAATCTTGATAAACCTGAAGATCTTGATTTTCTTGTGTCGAACGGAAGCGCGGAGAACTACAGCTATGGAGCAGTCCACCGGGAGTCTTTCTTAAGGTCCAGGATATCTGACCTCTTCCAGAAAATTTTTCATAAAATAATGACACGTCTTTTTCCCTACGAATGGATTGTACCCAAACCTCCGACAGAGGCCTCTGGACAGTTTGTAATGAAGATAGTTGGATTGCTATATCTTCTGATAATCATCTTCGATTTGATTATTGTCTGTGCAATGCCTGCTTTAGAAAACAATGATACAACGACACTGATGTTTCTATTTTTGTGTCTTGTGGGAATTGTCCTTTGTTTGATTGTTATCAGCCTTCAGCCTCAGACAAAGTAAGCAAAATTAAAACTATGAAACGACAAAGTTAGAAACTAGTAGTGACAGTTTTTTACAGTGTTTTTTTTAGCCAAAAGCCACTAGGAATTAAAAAGAACTTATAAAATAGTGACCCTAGTAGTAATGTTAACAAAACAACAATTTGAACGTTCATTAACAATTGGTTGATTGTAGCAGTTTATGGGTTTGGCGTCGCTGTAAGCCTTCAACAATTTATGAACAAAAGCTTTTCATATAGATGCATTACACAAACGCTACACTGCAGTAATAAATACGTATAGACCTAAACGGTAGTCTTCTTATCATGTTACACCTATGTGAAAATATTTATGAAAAGCCATGACGTCAATTGAAAGCTAAAATAGTTTTAAAACCGGACTACTAATTAAACAAAGAATCAAGACTGAAAATAATTTAAAAAATCTACTTGAACAACGATATTCTATGATTGGCCAATTGCTAAAGGATGTTAACCAATAGTTACATATCATAATATAATGAAATAATGTCAATAAGCTGCAACTCAACCTGAATGCATTTCGTTACACTTGTTAGTCTACACACACTCGTCCTTCACCACTTTTGATGTTACACAGCGTGTAATTATAATTATTGTCAATCTCTATTTGTGAATAAGTAGTTGAATTGTAGAATATAATATTTACATAAAGACTGTAGGACGATAGTTATCATAGACTGTTTGAAGAAATGTGATGTTTAAAGTATACAGTAGATTAATTGTAGAATACATCATTTACATAAAGACTGGAGGGCGGTACTTATCATAGTTGAAGAAATGCAAGTTGTGTAATGTACAGAAATGAATGGTAAAATCTGGTAGTTACATAAGACTGTCGGACGTTAGTTCTCATAGACTGTTAAAGAATATATATATCCATTGAATAAAACAAATAGTATCATATAGTATTTGCAGCATGGTTGATGAAATACTAGCACTATATATATATGTACACGATATGTTTTCAAATTGCAAACGTTAAATAACTAGTATAAATATACTAATTATTATAGAATCCACAACGTTTTCACTTCTTTCAGGTATGAACTCAAGTTCAAAGCCCCCGGGGTTCCGATAGTTCCGGCAGTTGCTATTATTGTGAACATCTACTTAATATTTAAACTATCTGTTCTAACTTTAATTAGATTCACTGTGTGGATGACTGTAGGTAAGTATACTTTGATTAATTGAAACATAAAACTAGTTTTTTTTAATGATCGAAGTGTACCTCTCGACGACTTACATAAAACTAAACCAAGTTTGAAGTTATAATATGAAAGAAAAGCAATAGTTATATTAAAACACAGCAATTAATTTAACTTTTTTACAACTATGAGTTCCTCCAAAAACTATTTACCTGTGGTATAATATGTTTGAAAATATTAATTTTAACATCTTTTTTCGCAAACCTTGTAGAAAATATTTGATCGGAGTTTGTATTGGAAACATTCTAAAACTGGGTCATTTTTAACTTAAATCCGAAAGGAGGTTTAGTCAAATTTAAACTTGATATCCGAAATGTCTGCTAAAATGATTTAATCATATATTACAGGACTTTTAATGTATTTCCTATATGGAATTAAAAAAAGTTCGCTGGAATGCCTTCCTCAGCCTGCCATGGAAATGAAAATACCACAAAGTAGGAGAGAAAAGGCATTGAAATATTCCCAAGAAAACGACGAAACAGAACGAAGCGCGGGCAATTCGACTACACTTTCACAAAAGTATTTATCATTGCCAACTGATGGCGCTAACAGTTTAATAAACTTAAACTACCAACCAAGTGAAAGAGATCAAATTGTAAATCCAGTTAGAAATTCTTGGGACACATTTGAGTGAAAAGTCATTAAAAACCAATTCAATAAAGAAGCATTTAAGAATTCTTGTTACTTAGACTTTCATATTTTTACATGTTTATCTTTTCCCGTCATAAAATATTTAAAACATTTATATCTTTCAATCCTGTTTTTTCATGTACAAAAATATTTCCTAAAACGAAGTCTGGCATGATTTTCATAATTATTTTCTGTTCGTTCACTGAAAAGGTAAGCTGATAATTATATCCATAAGTGTAGTTGTGTGTTACGTACATATAAGTTATTATGTAAAATCTAGTTGATATCGGGGGGGGGGGACGTTACATTTTCGATACATTTCATAAGATTGAGAAATATTAGTTGAAATACTACTAGCATTTCTCGACTGTCTGAAAAATATTCTCAATTCTTTCAAAATAAAAATGTCAAATGATAATAATAAACAGTAACCGAATATGTTTCTTTTAAGCGTATTTGTGAATGAACGCATGAAAATTCCGTTTAATATTATTGGAGCAGCATCCAGGAACAAGTTTGAACATGTTATCGAATAACCAAGAAGTACAATAAAAACAACAGTTAGTTTTGTTGTTGTTCTTCTTCTTTGTCTCGTGACGCGCTCTTTGGTCTAGTAAATAGTCGAGATAGCTCAAATATAGGTTAAGTCGTACTTTATCGTACCGTAATATTTACAAATATTGGTTAAGTCGCACTTTATCGTACCGTAATATTTACAAATATAGGTTAAGTCGTACTTTATCGTACCGTAATATTTACATTGACCATTACCACCAGGTCCTTCCCCTGAAAGGATTGTTATCGAATTCTATTACTGTAAACGTAATCGTGTTTGCGTCTAACGATAGCGTGTATTACACTACCAATTATGTAATGTGTACCTAAGTCTACAGTTGCTCAAGTGTACGTCACTTTAGTGCACATCCAACTGAGACGTAGCAGTACTATATGATGTTTCAGTACCTCACGATATCATTCTCGGTGGGGTTGTCTATCAGAGGGGGAACACAGGGGTACGCCCCCCCCCCAGTGGCATATCGGCGGACTTATAACGCTAAAAACCGGATTTCGATACCCATAGTGGGCACAGCACAGATGGTCCATCGTGTAGCATTGTGCTTAACTACAAACACAGGGGTACTGTTATGTACGCCACGTACAGGACTTAAAACATTCTGAAGTATTTACATTTTGCCATTATTAGCGTCATACGCTAAGAAACGTGGATTGTGGCAACTATCAAGAAATCTTCTGATACATAATTTTCATCATCCTTGCGATATATCAAACAACAGTAGTAGCAATATGCAAATACATTTTTTTTAAATAGAACTTTACTGAAAGTTTATGCTTCGAGATTAAAAAAAAAATCTCTAATCTGTTTATGTAATAGCTGCTACACCGTTGTTGATCCACAGGGTGCACTGGATTAGCTTTGGTGGTTTAAAATCATACGATTGCAGAACGTAATATAGAGATTAGATGTTCGACAACTCTTTAAATTTAGGGATGACTAAACAAAACCCGTCGCTTATATTTGTTGTCATCAGCTGGATTTTTTAGAACTTAAACCGTTATTAATTTAATGTTTGAAAGTGCGAGGCATGTAACAAATGAAGGTGGCTCTGAACATTTGCATGCAGCTGAAGTTTTATAAGTTATTAACTTGTTAAATTATACTTTTTTCCAACGTATATAATAACACTGTTACTCCTCTAGAAATTTATACTTCTTCTATTGTTACTTGTCAATTTAAATTATGTTCATACTATACACAATATCGATATTGATTTATTCAACCACCTGACATTCTGTTTCATTTTTAACGAAAATAATTATTTAAGATTATACTACAATGTTTATGTTATTATTTTATTTGAACCTATAACCCTTTCTCTTTGTCATTAACTTTACGACAGGCAGTAAAATTACTGATTTAAGGCCAAGGGGTTAATTCCTTTATATTGTTGTTTCTTCTTCATCGGGATTCGGTCTATTTTTGAACCAGGGAGGGTCAGGTTCAGTGTTAGGTTAGGTTTGTTTTGAATATCGCGCAAAGCTAAACGAGGGCTATCTGCACTAGCAGCTAGTCCACACCATACACCGCCTACTGTTGGGCTACTCTTTTACCAACGAATAGCAGGATTCATCGTCACATTTTAATGATGAGCATGTTCAAATTCGATGACGAGGAACCCACTTTAAGACTAATAATGGCTGGAGACGGCTTGAATGCGTAATGAAGAAAAACTTTAATATAAGTTTAACATAACAGCAAATGTACAACGTTTCGACAAGGTTTTGTCATCATCAGGTGATCATATAATCTAGTCTAAAGAAACAAATATCCCCCGTTGGTTCAGCAATAAGTTTCGGATTTACAAACACTAGACGGGGGTTAGATTACCCGTCACGGACAGTGTAGATTTACTCTTGAAATAAGTCTAAAATGCATTGTTTTTTAGCAATTTCGTCGTTATTCACTATATAAATTTCAAAAGTAATTTATACTAAATCAGTGAATTCAAATAAGATGTTACTATGATATTTTACTTCTACGTCCAAAACACTTTAAAGTAAACTTGTTTATTTTACACGTAGTTATCTTATGCTTTCTTATCTAAAACTATGTTTATTTATCGGTGATTTGTAATCAAAAAACAAATCCAGATTTAATATTTTAATATTAAGTGCCTATGAGTTTCAATGCGATATTATACCATGATGATGATTTATCATTATTCTTTCAAAGAGTTTTAAAACATATTCGTTTTTGACAGATCTCCATACAGGAAAACAGCTGAACATCATAGTTTTTCTTAGGTACGAGGCTTAACAAAATTTATTCGACAGTAAATTACTATCTTAAATGTACTTGTGTGAGAAAACTATATATATATATACATATTGTATGTGTTTCTTTTCCCATCCGTTCTGGGATATTTTAGTCATTAATAAAAATGTCATTTGTTAACCATCTCCTCTGTCTACATCAAAGAGCTTTCCAACAGTAAATATGAATTACAAATACTGACTTTGCTGTAATCATCATTTTTGTCGGCATCAGAAAACAATTTGTTACTTCTGCAAAGAAGGACACAGAGTAATATGAAATCTCTCAAGATAAGACAAGAGTTAGTAGAATACTCCTCCAAATGTGGAAAAAAGATAGTGATATACTACAAAATATTTCTCTAGGTCCATGAAATCGCACCTGATAATATATATCCACAAATGACAAAGAGCAAAAATATGAGAATCTCTCCCCTAGGAGAATCTCTCTCCAAGTATGAAAATACACAATATACAATAACATCTATCTGGATAAAGAGATGGCAGAATCTCTCTCTCCAAGTATGGAAAATACACAATATACAATAACACCTATCTGGATAAAGAGATGGCAGAATCTCTCTCTCCAAGTATGGAAAATACACAATATACAATAACACCTATCTGGATAAAGAGATGGCAGAATCTCTCTCCAAGTATGGAAAATACACAATATACAATAACACCTATATGGATAAAGACATGACAGAATCTCTTTCCAAATATAGAAATACACAATATATAAGAAATATGGAAAAAAACAGTGTATTAGAACATTTACGTGGATCACAAGATGGCAAATGTAAAAAAAAAATACAAAAAATATTGAAATATCTTCATTGATACATTAAAGATAACTAGACAGTAAAATTTTCTCTGGATATAAAGAACATAAGATAATAACTCATTCTATGGATATAGAGAATACGCGATAAAAATATCTCTCCAGGTATAGAAAATGCACAATAATAAAATAATTCTATGGGTGTAGAGAATACAAAGTAATAACTCTGGATATAGAAAACACAAAGTAATAACTCTGGATAAAGAAAACACAAAGTAATAAATCTGGGTATAGAAAATATGAGATCGTAGTTCTCTGGATATAGAAAATACAAAGTAATAACTCTCTGGGTATAGAAAATATAAGATCATAATTCTCTGGATCTAGAAAATACAAAGTAATAAATCTGAGTATAGAAAATATGAGATCGTAGTTCTCTGGATATAGAAAATACAAAGTAATAACTCTCTGGGTATAGAAAATATAAGATCATAGTTCTCTGGATATAGAAAACACAAAGTAATAACTCTCTGGGTATAGAAAATATAAGATCATAGTTCTCTGGATATAGAAAACACAAAGTAATAATCTGGGTATAGAAAATATAAGATCGTAGTTCTCTGGATATAGAAAACACAAAGTAATAACTCTCTGGGTATAGAAAATATAAGATCGTAGTTCTCTGGATATAGAAAACACAAAGTAATAACTCTCTGTGTAAAGAAAATGTAAGATTATAGTTCTCTGGATATAGAAAACACAAAGTAATAACTCTCTGTGTGAAGAAAATGTAAGATTATAGTTCTCTGGATATAGAAAACACAAAGTAATAACTCTCTGGGTATAGAAAATACAAAGTAATAACTCTCTGGGTATAGAAAATATAAGGCCATAGTTCTCTGAGTAGAGAAAACACAAAGTAATAACTCTCTGGGTATAGAAAATATAAGATTATAGTTCTCTGGATATAGAAAATACAAAGTAATAACTCTCCGAGTGTAGAAAATATAACATCATTGTTCTCTGGATATAGAAAACACAAAGTAATAACTCTCTGGGTATAGAAAATATAAGATCATAGTTCTCTGGATATAGAAAACACAAAGTAATAACTCTCTGTGTATAGAAAATATAAGACCATAGTTCTCTGAGTAGAGAAAACACAAAGTAATAACTCTCTAGGTATAGAAAATGTAAGATTATAACTCTCTGGATATAGAAAACATAAAGTAATAACTCTCTGGGTATAGAAAATATAAGATCATAGTTCTCTGGATATTGTTACGTCTCTGTATGTTTGTTTGTTAATTCCTCTAAGATACAAGTCCTTTCTTTGTAAAACTTGTTTATTCTTCCTCAATACAACTTTGTAATGTACTTAATTTTTA